ATTAATCATAAAAACCATTCTCTTTTACTTTCAACACAGGTTCCTTTAAAAATATGATAGTATTTAATATTTTATTCAACAATATTCAGCTAAATTTTAAGTATTGAATTTACCTTTACAAAAGTTAATGAACTATTAAACATATATTGCCTAAAAATATTTGAAATAGTTTAATATATACCTAAATATATAGAATGTCGATCGATGCTATGAAGTCTGAACAAAATTTACATATTTTCTTTAGAGTTTCTAGTTCTCTACAAATATGGGTTCCATTATTATTTAAATACATAAGTGAGTTAAATATGATAAAAATAAAAATTTCTTGAGTTTAATAAGTCGAATATTTCCTCATATTGCAACAGAGTTTATGTTTTTATTATACTGAAATTTATTAATGTTGTATTTTTTTGACGATATTAGCCAATGAAAAACCTTTTTTTTTCTTTTCTTAAATTTTAGAATATTATTAAGAAAGCTGAATTTCTTGAAGAACTAATTTTTAAACTTTTAACAAACAAATTGGACAAAGATACTTTATTTAAAATTTAGCAAGTAAACTTGTATATCAAATGAGTGTTTATGGCTATCATTACCTTAAAAATGGGTATATTATACAGAAATGCATCCACCTATATTGTTCTGAAATTTCAAGACTAACTGTTACAACTACTTTGGTAAATAAAACAGAAATATTAAAATTTTCCATTCTTACAGCATAATTAATTATTGCCATTTTGATTTGAGGAATTAATAATTTCAGGTTTTGTTCTCCATTCAGTATACAATTTAAAATTTTTTTATGCATTTATTTGAAATTCTCTGTTACTCGAAGTCTAGATGTCTTAAAGAAAAAATTAAAAGTGAAGTAAAGAAGAAAGTAAAGTAGTAACATAGAAAAAAAAAAAAAAAAAAAGGCTTCAAAAATAAAAAGAAAGAAAATTAAAAGGTTAAAAAAAATTAAGAAAGAAAAGTTCAGTATTTCTAAGAAACGCACTTGATATGCATCTAGAAATTATTTTATTAATTAGAAATTATTTGATTCATTAGAAATTATTTTATTTTTTAATAATTTTAAAACCTTCCGAAAGGATAGATATGTAAGATAAAGTTCTTATATTTTTATGCTTCGTCAATATTAAGAATATTAAATTCTATACTGAATTAAACATTGATACAGCATATGATTAGATGAATATTAATTTAAAGCAGGTAACATTTGGCAAAATGTCATTCATAAAATACCGACTAAATCTCATTAAAAAATTATTTCGCAATTGAGAAAAAATACCATGCAATACAAATCTTTGTTTTTAAAATTTTAATTAAATTTGAGTTGTTCTCAGTTTGTTTATAAATTAATAACTCTTAAATATAAAAACAGAAAGGCAAATAAAAGTAATTTTACTTATTCAGAAATAAAATAATTTTATAACTTCTAGAAAGACAGAAGTTAGTTAAATTCATTCCTTACAGTAAGTTAAGAAATGTTTCATGCATTAGAACTCAAGTAGGCTAGAGAGTATGATGAATGTGCTTACGTAAGATACAAAATTGTGAGAAATGAAATAAGTAATTGAAACAAAATAAAACTGTAATATTTATATTTAATACATGATGTATCATGTATATTTCTACAATAATAAAATAAAAGCATATTATAAAACTATATCGTAAATAAATTACGAGTATTTGTTTATTGAGATTTTTAGCATATTCATAAATTTTATGTATTTCTATTTACATATTTTGAATATATCTTTCACAGTTCATGCATCAAAAATAAAATTGGAGGTGACTTGTTTAAATATGAGGTGAGTGTATTACAGAATCTTTCTACATTGATATGTATTTTCTAACAATAGCACCATTTTTATTCGATAGATTTATCACATTGTTTTTAAACTTTCGAATGAAAAATTAGTACAATTGCTACTGAAGCAAAGATTATTATCTATTTTAGATATATGTAAAGGAGTTTCTTCGATACGTGAATAAAAGTTTATTCTTAGCCCTTTAACATGTGTTGATCTTTCCTATTCCTTAAAGGCATTAATTACTCTTACTACTTATAATTGTATTAAGATAAGAGTAGATGGGTTAAACATCTAACTGGCAACATTTGAAGTATAAACAGAGAAGATTTATACAAGCAATAGTAACTGCAAAGTATCTTAAAGTCAATTGGAAAATAGCATTTGCTACTTGAGACATTTGATTTAATTTTGCGTTCGTTTTCAGTATAAAAAAAAGTAGACATCAAATTGACATAAGCATAAGAGACTTAGCATAAAGAGCTTTTCACAATCCGTTAAAGACTTTATCATTAGTGTTAATTTAGTGAAATACGCGTTATTCTATTTCTCATTGCGAGCTTATTAACGTAAAAATGTTTCATAACATACTAGAGCATTGTCATATGATTTTTGCTTAGGTTTAATATTGTCCTATGCAGAAAATGTTGACAGTAGATTTAGTAATAATACACTTCTTAGCAATAAGCAAGCAATTCAAAGTGATGAAATCTCACTTATTTTCAAATATTCAATTACTAGAATATAGCCCCAAAATTAATGGTGTTTGGATTCTTTAAACAGCTTGTTAAACAGTTGCATTGGGAAGTTCAAAATAAATTTTTATTAGTTCCTTCTGTTTTACTGTCAGCATCAAAATAGTGAACTTCCCATCGATTTCAAACAAACATTATGGATATTTTAAAAGTGATAATTAATTGTTTATTCATATAAACTATACCCTGCAATAAGGAAGAAATCATATAAATAAATATAAGAAAAAATACACAGATTTTATACACTTTAAAAATCAACAATACGTTTCTTAAATATACAATTTTTTTATGCAAAAGTACAATGCAAAAGTGAAAACGCGGAACGCAAGAAAACACAACCAAAAAAAAAGTATGAAGAACGCAAAACTTCCTCATAAGATATATTGTTATGTACAAACCGGTTGTAAAATTTAAAACATTCTAATGCTCAAGGCATTAAAAATTTGAATGTGCCAGCATGGCTGTTAAAACCGCTGAACTGCGAAATATCTGAATTAATTAAAATCGAAATTCTCTGCCATCAGAATATGCAATTTTGTTTCTGAACACTTGTTTCTGCTTCAATAATTAAAAGAAATGATAATATAAAAATAATAATACACAAATCTCTGGTAAACATTTTTTCCTCAAACTTTTGCTCGCACTCTTAGTCCAACTGTTATCTTTAATTTATTTATGTGCAGTTATTTGTACTATGATTATGTTGTACGCCGTGCATCATAGAAGAAAGTGTAAAAGGATCGGAGAAGAAGACCATAACGGGGTCGATGCAAGAAAAAGGTTCAGAATCCCTGGTCCAAATATAAGATAAAGTCTTTCATAGACATGTTTCGCATAGAGGTATAAATGACAGGAAGAAAAAACTCTCAAAAAGTAGTGAAATACTAATAAAAAAGAAAATTAATCCAGATTATTTTTATAAAGACGAAAGCTTAGGGTCAGCTAAATAAATTAAGACAATTACATTCAAAAAATTATAGTCTAAAAATATTCTTAAAAAACAGATCTAAAATACGACAAGTTAAGCGTAATTAGTAAATCGAGAATTTAAATCAGATCTTAAACTTATAATCTTTAAATTAAGATCTATCTTGCTGAATCAAAAGCTGGGTTGGAAAACAAATCATGTTTGTATAATAAATCAAAATTGTATAATCTTCTGAGAGCAATTTTGATCAAAATGATGATAAATTTATGTAGAAAAATCTCATAGTTTCCCACAGTACGAATTTATTCCTGCATATTAAAGTACTGAGAAATGCCTTAAAAAGTGATAGTTAAACTGCTAGATATTTAACTAAATAATATAATGCTGCTGTAATGTAAAAAATGAAGCAAGTAGATTAATAAATTTATGCTCTTTTTTACTATCTGTAACAAATAATTCTGCAGGCTTTTGCAATATATGCTAATTAATAAAGCTACTGAACTAATAAACTACAGAACACCATAGTAATATATTTTATTTCTTAGAATTAACAAACAGTTTTTCAAAATAAATGGAGGAAAAACTTGCAGGTTTTGGAAATTTAATTTCCATTATTATGTCACATTTCTTCTCATAATTTACTAAGTTAAATTGGTCAACTTTATTATAATAGAATCAGTTTTAATGTAAACTAATTTTGATAATAAGCTACGATTGACAACGAGATCTTTCGAAAGCAAGATGAGTATACATAATGTTTGATACATTTTGCTCATCTAAGAATACCTGAGCAATTCGTAACTAGCTGTATAGCTTGTAAAAATGGAGAAAATCTAATATAATTATCCTAGTTGTCTTATTGCATTATTTTGCTTAATGTGGATAATTAGAACTAAAATTCCTCAGTGTTAGATTGATGATATAAATTGTAATTCAGATTGCATAAAAATTTCAGTTTGGGGGACTGGAGATAACATTTATTCACATCCATAGAAGTTAAAAGACACAGTACTTTAATGAATAGAATTTGAAACAAATTTGGGTACTTAAACATATCTACGAGATAAAATGTTTCAAAAATGGGAGATTTAGAGATTTATTCTGTAATACTCCCATTATTTTGTACTTCACCTAGGCTTGAAATACTCAGATGCGTTGAAACTGCGCTTTTATTCATAAGAAGCTTATTAAACCACTGATATTTATAGAACATATTACTTTTACAGTCTGCACATACATTTATAATGCAACTACGTAAAGCTCATATACATGCTAAAAAGCTCGTTTGATACAGTATTAGTACCAGACAACAAAATGGCTAAACATATAAGCATAAAGTGTGATCAGCAGTATAGTTGTGTAGTCTTCTGATGAAGAACCTTGACTTCAGCATTCAAAACAAAGTTCAGAATACGACGCTTATGTCAGCTCTACGCCTCCTTTTACATCCGCAATTGAAACACAAGTGTCTTTCATATTTGGCGATATTTCTCCATCTTTGGCATGAAATACAGCATTTTTCATTTCGATATTCATTGAAGACTTCTGTGATGGTGTTTTGTTGGCGCCATTCAGTGTCCGTGACGTTAAACGCGACGGGCTGGAGTTCAACCCAGTCGTGAATGTCAGTCTAGATCGAACTGCAAAAGAACAAAATATCGTAGTAAATGTCATGTGAACAAATATGCAGTATTACAGGCCTGAAAATAAATAAAATCAGTTCCTATACCTTATGAAATATCTCGTAGGTTACCGAAGTAAATGTCTAGAACGGCAATTCATATATACTGATCCGTAGAAAAATAAACCTGGGCAATCTAAAACTCTGGCTAACATATAATATAATATATCTGAGAAAAGGGCTTTGTGAGCTTATTCTATGTAGTAGTACCAGAAACGCAGAATAAAAGAAGTATGATGTTTATGATAAAAGTACAGTATAAAGTCTTCTATAAAATAGGTATATTTGAAGTGTTCATTTTTATCTCCAGAGCAGCAAGAAAATAAATAAAAATATTTGCTTGACATCAGTTATGTACAGAAGAACTCTATCTTTTATTAGCACCATACCTATTAAACTATCCTCATATAATTGAATGTTAACTTATTACCATTACTAAAGAGAAAATATGGACACGTTGCGGTTATTTAAAGCTAGTAAAATGCTGAAAGAAATTCGTACACAAATTTTACGAGATATATTTACACCAACCTGTTTTACAATGCTATTTTAATGCGAAATCATACAGAATATTCCTGCTTTTACCTTGGTGTTTGTATTTAGATGAGGAAAATTCATGAAGCTGTAAACGCATTTAAGTACAATTTTAATATTAAAAGACATTTGCCTTTAAAAAAATTATGCAGCAAGTTATAGATTACGAAATTTCAAATAATTACAGAATTTCTGAATTAACGCATGAAATAGAAAATTTGAATTCTTCATATGTGTCATATCCTTGCATTGCAATTAATTTTTTTCCAGCAGCGTACATGGAGATACACAAAAAATTGTCCGATCAGTTGCTTAAATACAGACACACACACACACACACAAGAAAAAAAAAAAAAACCTGAAAATAAAAATTTCTAGGCAATGTAGTTGAAAACTATTGACTACTTATAATAGAAGAATAACATGAAAACCCATTTCAAACTTATGAATAAAGCAAACTTATACCAAAAATACCAAATCATGCTAAAGCTCTGCGCAACCCGTCACCACACATGCAAGAAGAAACCCAAAAGCATCTGAAGCAGAAAACTCACCAAGAGCTCACCACTGTGGAAATAAGAAATTATAAGCAAAGCCTTACCTATACCTAAGGGTTCTGAAACCCTAGCGAGAAAGAAAAATACCAAGAGCGCCTCTACTAAGCATATGAAGTTACTAAAACAAATTATCTACCATAAAAGTGTTTCAGTTAATGCAATCTTATACTTCAGTAGCCGTCACAAGTTCCGCTTGGTATGTAGGCACTTTCGTTTTACGACGATTAAAATAATCATTCGTCCGACTTCGATAAGAAGAAAGGAGAGTAGTCATACTTCGGAATGACTTAACAAATATATTTGGATGTTTGTCGGTATTTGTTATTCTTGAATTATTATCAGCACCTGGAAAGAGAAAAGAATAATGACAAACTAGCATTTTTTAAAAATTATCATCTGTATGACTAGTTGATAATTCTTGATAGAAAACTGGTAATCTTAGAATTACGTAAATATTTCACGGAAAATAGGAAATTATTTTTTCATTTAATATTGAAAAGGAAGCTATCGGATTTCCCAAAGACAACAGTTTCGAAAATCTTAATGAGGATAAAGCATGTGAACAAAACTGTAGGTGCAAAGTGGATGGCGTTTTGCAGTCGTTCGCAACATCAGAACAAGGTGCTTATAATACACACTAGTAATGACATACGCATCCGTAATATTTGTAGCCATAGACTGACATACGTATTGTATCTGAGTCGTCTGCAGCATTCTATGATCAACAGAGACAACGTGCTCTTCATGAAGCAGTATATATCATTCACATACGCATGCCACTTTCTAGGAAAATGCCTTATCGTCGAATGACCTCATAACTCACGCTACATTTTCCAGTCCGTAGCTACAAATATTTAGGGCGTTCTGGAAATAATGGACGATTGCGAAATTCCACAATCTGCATTTTCTGTTTTGTTCATATACTTCATCATCCCTGTCGGGAAGATCGACAGCTTTCTTTGTAAGTGAACGGAGAAAATATACAAAATAATGAATTTTTCAGAAAAGCAAAGATAAGATCGAAATTCCACAATCTGCATTTTCTGTTTTGTTCATATACTTCATCATCCCTATCGGGAAGATCGACAGCTTTCTTTGTCAGTGAACAGAGAAAATATACAAAATAATGAATTTTTCAGAAAAGCAAAGATAAGATCCAGTAAACCCACGTATGGAACTACTACACTTTGATCTTAGCCCAAGAGGCCGAGAAGTGATACCTATGGTACTTACTGCAGAAGTCTGAAATTCCGCTCATAATGCATTTTAAAGTTATTAATTTATTTCAATTAATTATAATTTTGTATCTACAGAATTAGGCAACAGTCAAAATTATCAATATATCAGAATAAAGCATCAGTTGCTTATCTGCAAATATATCACTTTAGCTACACATTATTTTTAACGGTATTTTTGATTAAAAAGCTTAACATAACATTCTGTTTGATGGTAGATTTAATCAACAATAAGAGTAACAATAAGTAAACAATAAGAGTTTACGAGGGAATCGATGTTGCAGAAACTCATATATCAAATTTACGTAGGGCAGACTTAAAAGCAGAAAGAAAATTGCACAAAATTAAAGTCTTAGAGAATCGAATTCAGATACAATAATTTTCAGTGAGTAGTCGACAAAGTCAAGCATTACAGTTATTACTTACTGCATCAGTTCTAATGTATAAAAGTATATTCTACCGATCATTAATAATATGTAAAATCATATTCATCAGACCTGAATAACATCTAAAATCATTATGTGACATCTTTTATAATATGATTGTCACTTAAATGAGCCCACCAGTTCATAGACCGATTTGAAAAATTTTAAGTAACTCAAAATTAGGCACAACAGAAGCTTTACTTTGGCGTTTATTTTGGCATCAATGTGTTAGATTCGGGCACAAGTAATAGAGTATTCTGAGCTTAAACTTTAATGGATGTCCAAAAATTGCTCAGCGGAATTTTCGGACAATCAATAATGGGTTATAATTGGATACAAGTCTTCAAGTATTCCGAGCTTAAGCTCTGACGGATACCCGGAATAATTGCCCAGAGGGATTTTTGAAAAACCTAATAACGGATTATAATTAGTTGTAGGTCTTTAAGCATTTCAAGCTCAAACTTTGATGGATGCTCGAAAAACTGCATAGATGAACGTTTAACAATAACTTCACTTTTTTCTTAGTTTTAAATTTTACTATAAATTATTCTTTCAGTGTTTATCTTTCATCTTGAATTACCTCACTTGTTTAACATATATGGATCTGTTTAAAATTAGCTTCTTCGCGAAAATCACGGGCTAATTTATATATATATATATATGCACACACAGTTAGATTAAGTTATCAGTTCACAGTTCATAATCTATGATTTATTTTTAAGTTCATTCAAGATATCAGACGCAAAGAATAATAAGGACATAACATGAAAACGAATAAAAAATGTGAAGTGTTCATTCTACTGTTTGGCGTGATTCAGTCGAGGTTGACAATCCATAGTCATATAATATATGGCTACCGTTTAATAACTGTCGACAAAGCATTTTTGATGATTATAGCTTGTAAAGACAGGATAATGAGTGTGTTTTCCTCTGCAGAGCCTGTACCACGATTAACAAAACATACTTCTTATTTTAGCAACTAATTATAAAGTGAGAGCTTCCCCCAAAGCAAAATTACAAGAACATAATCTTTTAAGCTTTGGATAATTGATTCTAGCTTTAGAGAAATTCCGCTTTAGGCAGTAAATAAAAGTATAAAATAATTCAAAAGTTTGTATAGTAAGATCCCTTAAATTTATTTTTATTTCGATTTGGATTTTATAAATTATAAAGCAAAGCAGGAGCTCGCAAGATTCAAATCAAATTCAGTCTGTTGCCTGACTGCGACTTTCAATCAGGCAACACATATTCAAATAAGTATCTAAAATATCAACAATTGCTTAACTTAAACACATATAGAGGTACTACTTGGGAATCGATTCAGAATTTTTCATTTGAGTACCCGTTTAGGTTACTAAAAGTAACTTCGATAGGCTTTTCTTAGGCAAAAGTCTTACTGTCAATTAATTGTATTACTTTTAGTAATAAAATTAAAAACCGGCTCCGTACACTTTGATCAGTAGCAAAGAAGGCATGTCAAATGATGTCAAGGTAATTAATCTCAATCAAATAGATGAGCCAGACATACTCACCCGAGCTTATAAGCTTCTTTTTATCTAATCCTTGATTTGCGTATTTCTGGAGCGCGCGTAAGTAAAAAGAAAAAATATGGGGTTAGAAAGAAACTAAAAGCTTAATTGCATAAATATATATATAGTATAGTATATATATATATATATATATAGTATATATATATATATATATCTATATATATATGTGTGTGTGTGTGTGTGTGTTTGTGTAAGATAAAAATATGTAAATCAAAATTATAAGCAATAGCCTCTTAATCTCCCCCTCTCTATTCTAAAAATAGTAATGCTTTTATCTGCACTGCGTTATTTCTAGATCAATCCATATCATATGACTTCCATAACACTGATGACGTAGCTAAATCGGAACCTGAGCTCAAAATTTCGAGAACTGAAGCCTTTTTCTTGGTGAGCTTCCATATTGGAAAACTGCGCACTTTAACTTCAGTTCTGCTGCACCCAAGATACTACTTCGCTCCTTTTGTTTTGTCGTGCTGTTAAATATGCCGTTACCTAAAATGTGATACTCTATATAAAATTGTGAGGTGCGTATATTTGTACGTATATATAATACGACTATTGTAATGGGAATTAGAAGATAGCCGTTAACAACCGAGATTTTTACTTGGAAAGGCTTTTAGCATACATTCGCAAGATGACATAATGAAAACAGACTTACATAATGAACACAACACATCAATTTATCCGTGAATAAGCATAAACGTGTTCACATACCATTTTGATGCTCATTGCACCCTCCACACATTTATGTAGCTTATTATATCTTTAGACAATGGACGAAAGAGCGCACAAATGAGCAGTGGATCTTAGCAAGAGCAAAGCAAAAGAAGACAGTTACTTACCCAATACCGTTATGTGTGGATTGATCTAGAAAAGACGCAGTCTGGTAAAAGTTCTTACTATTTTTAGAGGGAAAATACCCAAATTAAAAAGAGAAATAAAGGGCCGCTGATAATTTAAACCATAATTTATAGTTACACTTTTTATCTTACACATACACACATATATATGCCGAATCACACAGACGGTACACACACATACATATGCATATATACATACATACATATATAGTATATATATTCCGTGTTTCACCGAAAATAAGACTCGGTCATATATTAATTTTTGCTGTAAAAGATACACTAGGGCTTGTTTCTAGAGGATGTCTTATTTTTCATGTAAAATTTTATTCATATTCAGAAATGTAAACATTTATTCATATTCAGAAACATATTTATTCAGGTTCAAGAAATACATTTATTCAGTTTAAGAAACATTCAGAAAAGAACAGAAAGCCATGTCGTCCTCTTCTGGAACATTTTCATAAAACTGGAAATCGCGAATTCCGGCCTGAATGTTTTGCGACTGCATTTCCTCTAAGACTATTGGTCTAGCCTCTTATGTCGAGCAATAGAAATATTGCTCGACATAAGAGGCAAATATTGCTGGGCATATTCTTATGTCACGAATTCCAGCCTCTTCTCAAATTACCATTCACCTAGTGTTGTGATGCTTTGAATTCGTTTGGCGATATCTCTAGATGTGGTGCCATTGCAAGGGCTAAAGCTTGGATATCCACTTTGCTCTTCTGTCAGCAATCTATTCAAGTAAGATGTGTTAAAATTCAGGAATTAATGGTTGCTAACCTTATCCACACTTACGCTTCTTGGTATTTCTCTAGTCGACTTGCTGACTGTGATTATTGTACTTATTTTCGGACCATTTGCAGATCCAGCTTCTTCTCTTTGCACATAGCAATAAGATTTTTATTCCTGGAGTCTTCCACAATTCCTTTTCTTTACTCGACGAAATACTCCTTTCTTTTCCACTCGATAAAATAGCTGCTTCATTTTACCTGAGCATCAAAATTTACTATCCTTTAAATTTATTATTAAATCAAGTGCTAAGCATCAACTGCTAATGTGACGTATTGAATACTAAAGATTTTAATTTGTCGCAACCGCGTCCGTTTTTTACAAATATGAATGCGTGTCCGGCAATATGTATTTATGTAATGATTTTGAAACGTAGTCCTGCTGGCAGAATGGCAGGCAGGGACGACGAACAGATGACGCCGACATAAGAATTAATTAGACGAATTCCCAATCTTTATTTCCACGCACATAAAATCATATCAG